ATAATAAAATAAGTATTATTTCTATTATATCTATATTACTTTTTGTTGTGAGCTGATATTTTATTTCTTTAAATTGCAAATTTCTTAATTAAAAATTTAAATTGAATTTTAATTAAAACATTCTCAATTTCTTAATTTCAAAATTAAATTAATTTTTTAATTTATCTATTTAAAGCTGCATGCACGATTTAAAGAAAAATAAAAAGGAATGTAAATAACAAAGCTCGAGACTTAATCTTTATAATAAGTCATTTCAAAAATGCAAAAAATGTAAATGAGAAAATATTTTCCTCACAATAGTATACACAATAACAAAACAGGAAAAAGTTGCATTTTGTGAACGGATTTTTTGTAGACGATATAAAATATATCTTATGAACATAACTATTAAAAGAATGAACTTACGTAAAATATCTAAATATAGAACTCACAGCTTTGACAATATAATAAATACTTTATATGATTTTATAAATACTTTACATGACAAAGGACGGATGGGAATTGTAACACATTTTAAAATAGTTTTTATGTATATACTCTATGTGCATATGTGATATAAAACATAACATTTTATGTGTTGTCATTATTTTAAAAAGAATAAATTAATGAGGTAATTTATATTGGAAAAAAATTATCACAGCGATAAATTATATTTGTCGATCGATATTTGAGAACATGTTGCGAATTTGTAAAGAGTACGTATTCTAGCAAGTTTCTCAAAGACCGTCACTCATTGACGTCTCGCTTTCGCAGTAAAAAGCATTATCACGATGGCAGTAACAAATTAACGGAATCCACGACGACGCACAACGCTGCAATTTTAGATCGCTCGTAGGATTCTGCCTCGTCGCGTCGCGATAGTGTCAGCTGTCGCGGTGTCTACAGCTATGCATTCGCCGTTTTTGTGCGCGGGCGCGTTATCACGCGATAAATCGTTGTTTTACATTTTGGACAGTGACGCGTAAAAGCTATTTAAAGTAGGATGCTGAGACACAAAGGTAGCAGCAGGAAATTTATCGTTAACGAGATGTTGCGACTGCTTTTTTTTAAGTGTTACAACGCGAGTCTCTTTTTCTCTTTCTCTCTTTTTTCTCATAAAGTATGAAATAATATCTCATGTCGCGTCGGTTGGTTTGCTGACAAAAAGACCGTTCATCTCCGTTGAATAATTCTTGCGCCATTAATCTAAGAACTCGCGATTATACCGCCGTCGCAAAGTTTCCCAGCATACGCGTGTCGACAGCAAACGTGGAAAATCGCAGGCGATGATATTGTCGCGAAAAATGTTTCCTAGTTAAATACGTTGGCGCGTATGCGCACACGAAGTAAAAGGCGCGGAAGTGCATTCACTATAGAGTTATACCAAGTGCGACTTTATTTCAATATCTTTCTCTCTTTCTCCCTCTCTGTCTGGTAAGACGAGAGAGAACCAATCACCCGGTTTATCCCGCGGCGCAAACGTGCCGTAATATCAAAGAAAGAGAAGCGCACGTACGTGTCGTGAGACGTGAAATGCGGCCGGATGTTTGTCGCACGCCCAATCAGCGTCAATTCAAGCTTCTCTCTCTCGACCAGCCTTACGTCGTCGGCGCTAAGCTTCCTACACATTCATACACGCAAGATTCCTTCCTTTAGCCACGCGCCTCTTGCATGACTGTGTCTTGCTCTTGAACCTCGTCTGAACTTCATGTGCAAAAAA